GAGAGTCTTTCAGGTAAGGGTCGCGGCTCTAGGGGCTTCAGATGCCATTTTCTGATTAGAAACCCCAAAGCTTTGGATAGGGGCATATAACGCGGAGCAAAGGTTCTGGTGTTTTTTGGAGGGTATTTGGCTGTTTGTGGGTTGCTTCCGGACGCACCGGAGAATGGTGCGGCTGCCATAGTTCTCGGGGAGGGGTTGGTGGTGACCATACTCACTTCGGAGGTCCTGGTAGTTGTAGCGCCACTCGGGCCTACATTAGTATTACGATTGAAAGTTCTGTGGGGTTGCTCCCGGTCATTATCAATCAAGCCTTGCTTCAAGGCGTCCTCAATCTGCACCCCCATTTCATGCAGATCAGAAAAGGTAGGGAAGGGGAGTACAATCATCTTTTGCATTAACTTCGGCTGAAGATTGCGCACAATCATCCGAATCTGGTCTTTGTCCGTGGGCCTTAAGGTCATCATCGAAGCCTTAGCCCGCCATCTGGTTACGAACTCTGAGAAGCTTTCTTTGGGTTCTTGCCTCGTTGTCTCGAGATCCCGGGTCGTGATCTCGATCTGCGTGTTGTATGAGTACTGCAAGATGAAGGCCTCAGCCATCTCGTCCCAACTTCTCTTAACATCATCCTCCAATTTGGCATACCATATGGCTGCTACGCCCGACAGGGTTCGGCCAAATAAAGACAGCTTCTGCAGTCTAGTGAGGCCCATTGGCCTTAGGATGTCTGAAAACAGCCGCAGGTGCACCATGGGATCCCCGGATCCGTCAAATCGATCAATTTGTGGCATCTTAAACCTGTCTGGCAGCGTCACGGCTGCGTTGGTGTATCCATCTTCAATGTCCGGAATGGACTTCACACCTTGAGATTTCTTAAACAGCTTTTCAAGCTTGCTCATTTTTAATGCCATGGGGTCCACCTCGGACTCGAAGGGAGAATCCAGTTGATTGATAGGAGTGGGTGCCTTGGATAGTTGAGGCAGAATTGGGGGTGGAGCTGGCCCCGTTGGGATGTCTGTATCTTCTTGGACATTCCGGGCATTTGGCGTCTCTTCGGGTATCGAAACCCTTAGTGGGGGAGGGACTTGCTGTGAAGCAGATGCTCCAGTTTGCTGCTGCAATCTCACGATTAACTCCGCTTGCTCATTCATAACTGTGGCTTGTTGTTTGGCGAATTCCTGTCGGACAGCATCCTGCTGCATCACTTTCATGCTTTCTTGGAGTTGGCGCACCATCTCTTCTAAACTAGCCATGCTGTTTTGTTCTGACTTAATTATCGGTATATGTTCCCTTTCTGTGGGTGAAACAGAATCTTGATCCCTACTATACACAGGTGGGGTAGATAAAGCCCTCTGTACTGACTGTTGAACTGATGCCCTCTGCCTAGTTGTCCTCCGTCTAGTAACCGGGTGTAGAGAGTGGTACACTGGTTGTCCGTCTACCAGATCCTCAGATCGATGGAGCCGACGACCTCTGATCCAGAGTGCTTGGGGAATATCTACCGGGTTGGAAGCAATGATGCTAAACTACCTAGCAAAAAGATAAATAAAGCAGTAAATAAACTAACAATCGGACAGCACAACGGCGTAAAATAAACACATATAACACACAGTTGGGCATTAATAATACACAGTTGGTAAGCCGAACACACTGTTCCTCGATACTGATTACTTTCCCCAGAATCACTGTTCCCAAAACTGAACCTGATACCCGCAGATAACTGATTCTCAAAAACTGATACTGATGCCCTCTGGTCTAATACTCAACCTTGCAAACTGATATGTACGTTCCTGTAGAGAAACACTCTAAAAGCACATAGCAAGTAAAGAAAGCCAAAACACCCCTATGTTGGGGTAGGGTTTCCCTGTCCTATTTTGTCAGGAGCTAGGGTTCCACTATGCACACAGCAGTTTCAAACAACCTATAATCGGGTAAGCAACCTGTCCTAACTTGGAATGGTCACTATGGATCCGAATGTGCACTAGGTCGAATGGTCAAAAAGGGTGCCCCGGTAAACCGGGGTTTGTGTTCCCATGCTGTCAGAGCCCATAACTGGTTAGCCTTATGGTCATGCCTTGACAAGACAAGCCTCCGGCAAACCGTTCAGGATGGCAGATGGCAAACACTGTGTTCCTAGGCGCACCAATGCACATGCAATGCAAAGAGACATATAAATGAAATCAAAATAAGATATCACGCGTTCGAGTCAAGCTCTCTAAGTCCCCAGCAGAGTCGCCAGAAACTGTAGACGCGCCCGCGTGGGCCTCACTACAGTTCGGACTCGATTTTGTGTCACGGTTCTTAATCTGAACCAAAGAGTCCAAATCTGGCAAATCGTTTTGAGAAACAGATTTTTTGAAAAGAAGTGCCAAACATGGACTGCTTTGCCAGATACAGAGTCGCCACCTAAATATTTTTTATGGGGAATTTAGGAAACCCTGACTCGGTGCCGAAGGCCACATGTCCGTCATCACCAGAGTTGCCTCGGCTCGGGAGCTAGGGTACGATTGGGGAAGGTCAGCTATGAGCACCCCCTCTCGCCCGATCCGAAGATCGGCCTCTACTAGCCGTGATATCCTTTTTTGAAAACATTATGTGTTCTTATTCCATTTATTTGCCTAGAATTACTATGTTATGCGCACAGCACAAAAGTATAGACTAGATTGCCTAATTTGGGAATAAGCATTGCATATCCGTTTGTTTTGAAAAAAAATGTTTTGGAATTTGCTACTCGCAAGTAGGCTAAAACACGGATTTCAACGAGTGTTTCCAACTCAGGCAATCCAACCTTCACCCACAGGCATTCAAACAGTTTATCACGTAAGCATCTAGCCACATGGTAAGCATGCTGTCATGATAGCGTTCACACGCATGAGATAAGCTAAAGCATAAATGCATGGTCCTAGTTCATGTCAAATTGACTAATGCAACACATGCAGGATGCAATTAGAATAGGCTCGGCTAACCTAAACATGGCATGTGAAATGCAATCAATTGATGCACGTATTCGATTCGGAATTGAAGTACAAATGCAGTTAGTATGATGTACCGAGCCCAGTGCA